CGAGAGACGGAGAGAAAGATATAAAGCAGAAATAAAAATACTCGCCATTATTTTGATGTGCTATAACAGATTACAAGCACGTTTCAACACATGAAAAACGATCAAAAAGACACAAATTAGATTCAATTCCTCATTTAATGTTAAAACAAAGTTAGAAAACAATATTAGACAGAAACATTTGCAAATTAACTCAAACGAATTGCCTAGAAAACAACAACAACAACAGCAGAGGGAATGCACAACAAACTGTTTCTTTAAAAACAAAAAAAGTTTCTTACAGTTAAAATGGCACAGTAAAACGTGCCATGAACCAGGCCCTTGTAACAAATATATGTAACAATGTTATTTAAAAAAAATATATATGATCAAATGAATTAATATGTGATTCATGCCATGGTAGCATTAGTGTTTTGGTGAAATTCTTAAAAGACTAAAAGCTCAAATGTTACTAGCATAGAAGAAAAAACATTAAAAGAGGAGGAAAGACTGAAGGCAGATCACAGACAGGCTTCAGTGCTGCTCAAGCTCAGTCTGATTCTGCTAGTTTTCAATCACAGTCCAGGTCTGATGAAAACAAATGCAACAGCATTTTGAGAGTACCTTGGTTTTTAGTTAGCTGACTTAACCTATAGACAGCAATCTGAAAAATCACTTGAGATCCCCTCCAATAAAAACATCTCAAATATAATTTACATGAATTCTAAAACACAGCTGGATGCGTTTCAATTAAATGTCCTCAGCATATAACCTTTTTTTCACGTGTTCCCCGTGTGCCTTTGTCTCCTCCCACAGGACTCATCCGGGTGGAAGGCAGGATGGTCAACGGCTCACAGGACTTCCAGGTAAGACGTTCCTGATATTTTTGTTAGTTCAAAATGTTCCCAAATCAATATCGGTGTTAAGGATATAAACAAAAATATAAGCATAATAAATTACTATAAAACTCCCTATTGTGGAGATAGTTCAATCAGTGATTAGAGCTCCAGGATTGGCTGCTGATGGCACTGACTCTGTCTGCCTATAGGACAGTGTTGTGCCCCGTGTTGAGAACAATCCAAATCCTTGAGTCATCTCAAATTAAAACACTTGACACTGATACTTTAGTAGACCTCCCTCTCTTTGGAACAACAATTGGTGCGTCATCTGAAAAAGAAAGAGACACGTCAGTATATTAGATTTCCAAAGTACCTGTAACGGCCCTAACAAATTAAGTGACTGAGAACTGCATATAAAGAATAAGCCAAAACCGACAAATGGAAAAGATGACTTATAACAACCAGTCAGCATATTGCTTAGTGAAGAGACTAAAAATAAAATTTATAATTAATTCAAAAACATACATTTATAGTAATGCACTTTTGATAGCAAGCCACAAAATGCCATTTATAGACACTGAAGCTGTATTCAACCAGGAATATTTATTTTAAAATTCCTTCTTAAAAGCAGGATTATTAGTGGCAATTCAACCCAATCCACTGCACAATACACAGAATAAACTAAAACTATAAAACATTGTTATAATTAATTATAAAACGGATAGTTCCGGTCCTTGATTCTGATTGGTTGAGCCACGTTCTAAGCTGTTGTACAAAACATACACCTTTGTTTACTTTGTGTGTTGCTTGGCAACCACTTTATTGCATCCACAACTGTTTCTGAGGAACGACATTGTTTGGTGGAAGAATACGGTTTTTATTTATATCATTACACTTTATTTGCTCTGTTTTATTTTGTGAAACCTTACTACATATATGGAATAACCGTTTTATAAAAGCAATAAGCCCCGTGAAGCCATGGTTTACAGTGAATTTATAACAGCTAAGGGGTGTTGTTAGGCACAACGCGAAGCGGGGCTTATTGCTTTATTTAAATAAAGCTGAAATAAAATAAAATATAAATATTACATGATAAACTTAAATGTTTTAGAAATGTTGCACTGACATCTAAATGAAATAAGTTGTTAAGTACTAAAATTACTAAAATAAAAATAAAATTAAAGCTAAATACATTGTCATTTAGCAGATGCCTTTGTCCAAAGCGACTTACAAATGAGGACAATAAAAGCAAACAACATCAACAAAAGAGCAATGAAATACAAGTGCTATAACAAGTCTCAGTTAGCTTAACGCAGTACACGTAGCAAGGGTATTTTTTTAAATTATATAACAAGTCTCAGTTAGCTTAATGCAGTACATGTAGCAAGTTTTTTTTTAAATCATAATAAATAAAAAGAAAACAGATAGAATAGAAAAGGACTGGAGCAAGCTAGTGTTAGAGGCCTTTTTTGCTTTTGTTAATTGTATAATAAATGAAAACAAAACAATTAGAGTACAAAAAGAATAGAGAAGCTAGTGAAGCAGTTAATAAATTAATAGTGTGCAAGTCTAAAAGGAGCATGTTTTTTTTTAAAGAATAGAATTAGAATATAATATATTTATATAATTTATATAATATAATAATATATTTATATAATATATATTTGAATACATCACATAACAAATTACTAAAACCTAAACTAAATATAAAGATAAACAAAATAAATTAATTCAATTAATATTAATAAGCATAAAAGTATAACAAACTAAAATAACAAACAAACAAACAAGACTTCCAAGAATGTCCTGAAATGGCCAGATTCTTTGGAAATATATGAATGACCTCTAATCCAAGACAAGACTGGGATGTCATCAGTGATTTCACTCACCAGAGGGCACGTAGTTGTCTGCCAGATGCCGGTCTTTCTCGATGAAGAGGGCCGTGGCCAGGAAGAAAGCTCCGCCCACCACGGCCACGAAGGAGCACAGCAGCAGTGACATCTGAAGTGAACGAAACTCCCACATGTACGAGTCTGATTTCTTTATCGAGTCTGACACCTTAATCGGGGGAAAAAACACGACATGCAACCTAAAGTGTTTTTTAAAAAGAATTTCCAAATACTTTTTGTGTGCAATTGTGAGATTGACGTACCACTCCTATGAGGTAAGGGCTAATAGCGTCGCCCAGCAAGTGCGAGAGTACAATCTGAAAGGCTTCCGCTGTGGAGCGCCGTGTGGGGATCACAACATACTGACAGAAGAGAGAGAGAACTTTAAGAGAGAGACCTCATGCTGTTCCAAACACACATGCTGTTGTTATTTCAATGGAACACAAAATAAGACATTTCTAAAGCATTGCAAAGATATGAAGTGGCTTTAGAACAGTGTTTCACAATATTCAAAGACAATATTAGCCAAAATATTTCCTCTGGTATTTCTGTTGTAATTATAGCAATGCTACTCGTTTTTTTTATTAACAGAAGTTGGGAGTGTTGAAATAAAATTCACTAAACATGATTAATTTGGTGATTCTGTTAGATTTGGATTTTTATGTTTAAAAAAAAAAAAAAAAAGTTATCGATGAGGGAAAAAATAAATATAATTTCTGTTTCAGCTTGATTTTTGATGTTTTTAGCTTCTTGATTTAATTATTTTTTAAACGTATAATTAAATAATTTTAAGTCATTCTTTGGCCCCCATCGGAAGCCCTTTAATTGAGAACCACTGCTTTAAAAGACTTGATAATAGTGTGCCAGTCATATTAACTACTTTATGGTGCTTTCTTGTCTTTTTTAGAGTTTGACTAGCTGCGGACTCTGAACACTATGTTGTTGAATGGCAATAACTATTGAACAATTCTTCAAACAAGCCTACTTTTGTGTTTTACAGAAAAAACAACAGCATACAAGTTGGCAAAAACATGAGGGTGAGTGAATAATAAAATACATTTGTCTATTCATTATTCTTTTGACTTGGTATTGGATAAAATGAGAGAAGGGAAACTCACCAGAAGGATATCAGCAACAATGGCCCAATTCATAGACAGGAATGTCTCACCCAAGAAGATAAAGATCTGGTGGGAACACAAAATTATGGTCAGCATAAAACTGCCCTACATTCAACACTGCGGTCAATATAACACTGAAAACACTTCCTGGAAAAAAGAAACTTTTTGGATATAGCTTTTGGATAAAACAGGGTCAAAGGAGAAGTCAAATGAGTGACTTACATATGTGGCCACAGTGCTAGCCTGAGCAAACATGATGGACAGATAGAGAAAGGGAGCAGCGAGGAGGAGTCCTGCAGCACAGACTAGCGGATCAGCTCGAGGGGTTTTGATCCTCAGCTTCTTGCTCGCTTGCACACCACTCGCTACACCCAGGATGCCCGTCACAACTGTGATGATGCCAAAAATCAGACTGCAGAGCAGAGGAGATTAGAAGAACATTATTAGTGCATGTTTTTAACATAGGAATATTTACAACAAATGCACTGTCGTAAAATCATAATAGTACTATAATGTTAAAAGACTACAAAGACGTCAATAGAACACAAAAGTGTGTGCCAAAGTCATGTTGTGTATCTTGAGAGAGTGAGGTGGTGTGTACGAGGGGCTGACACCTGTCAGAGTTGTCACAGGGGGCTTTTAAACACGGCTGCTTCTCTCCAGTGAAGACGCCTGCTCTGAATAAAAAGGCAGGGGCCCACAGGGCCAGTGATCCGGTCACAAAGGCCACAGTCGTGAAGCCAAACGTGGACAGAACAAAACTTGGACTGAAACAGAAATGAGGAGGTAGACAGAGAGAGACACAGTTCAGAAAGGAAACATTTAATCATTGCAAATAACCACACAACAAACAGCTTGAGAATCATATATCACTTATTCAACTTCTGCACTATTACATTTACACTACTGGTTAAAAATGTGAAATAATTAAGGATAATTGTTTTGAAAGAAGTCTGATCAAATATACAATAAAAACAGTAATATTGTGAAATATTACTTAAATTAAAAAAAAACTTATTTATTTGAATTTATTTTAAAATGTAATTTATTCCTGTGACAGCAAAGTTTACAATTACATAAATTACACATATAATACTTTAGAAAAATGGCACTCGATATTGTAATATTTCATATATCATACTTTCATATGACTTTCTTCTGAGGAAAATACTGAAATGAAATATTTAGTTGTTTTTGACCCGACTGCCTTCCAATGCATGGGCAAAAACTTGCAGAAATATTATTAAAAATATATATTTATTACAACAGCAGCCACCAAGAGCAATGGTTATTATCCTTATATCTAAAAAAAATCACTTGTGATTGTGAGTGATTAGATATTTTATAATGTCCTTGATCATCTCAGATAGAGGCTGCAGTGATGTCACCAATAATTACCTAATAACAGAGGAAAAACCCTAAAGCCAGTCAAGAAGTATTATCAGATATTGAAAAATTCCCTGCATAAAATCTAACGTGACTCCGTGACTCACTTCCTGCAGAGTGCTTTTATGTCCGCCAGCCAGCTGGTTCTGTGCAGTGTGTGCTCTGGATGAGCTTCGATCGCACCCCGCTTCGGCTCCTGAACTACAAACAACAAGAGGATCACGGCCAGCAGCCCCAGACCAGGGGTCACCTATAAAAGAGAAACAAACGAAAAGAGCAAACAAAAAAGGCAGAGAGAGAATGAAAGTGAGAATACGTGTGAGAAAATTACAGAGAATTGTTATCATTGTATTTAATCTCCTAGTGTGATTTTGTGGTGAAAGCAATAAGCATGTATTATATAATCCACCCAGAGACAGATAAACAGTGAGAGGTTTGGTGCTGTAGACGTACCCGAAGGGCCCAGTGCCAATCTCCAGTCACATCATCCACCTCTGAGCCCACGATATAACCCAGACCACTGAGGAAAGAAAGGCCGGCAGATTTTAATGAGAATGAGGATCAGGTCTGGTTCACATTGCAGCTTATGCTGTCCATTTAAACAGAGTGGCCGTCTGATCCACATATAAAGTGACCAAATACAGTTAGCTCTTTAATATAATGTTTCAGGGGCACAAACTAACATTCTTTAAAAGTTTATTTTTTGAAGAAATTAAAGAAATCGTTATTAAGCAGGGATGCATTAAATTGATTAAAATTGACAGAAAGGGCATTTATGATGTTACAAAGATTTCTTTTTTAAATAAACACTGTTCTTTTTAACTTTTTATTCATTAAAGAATTCAAAGAAAAAGTGTCATGGTTTCTACAAAAATGTTAAGCAGCCAAACAAATTACTGCTGAAAATTCAGCTTCACAATCACAGGAATAAATTAAAATGTTAAAATAAAAAATAGTTGTTAATTCTAAAAGTAGGTCACAATATATTACTGTTTAACTGTTTTTGATCACATAAATTTGAACGGTAGTGTAACTATAATTTAACAAAAGCAACTAGAATATTGCAAATAATTACTGAATTTGAATGAACATATTTTACACAACATTTACATGAGAAAAATAAAAAATGAAAATGCAATCTATCCATTAACAAGGCTGTCTGTAGATTTTGGAAATGTCTAGCCAGATAATTAATATATCAATGTATTTAAGTATTCTCATACAATTTGAAATATCCAGTGACTAGGTCTCTATCGGAAGTGCTCAACTGTAGCAGCCTGGAAACATATAAATGCAACTTTGGTTGGTGTGAAGGAAAAAAAACTGATAATGTAACTGCACGTGGCAGATTGTGAGAATGTAGCCATGCTGTGAATGTGGATAGAGCTGAAGTGTGAATAACCCAAACACCAGTATTTCCACCCAGTGTTCTGTTTGAGGCTACTTTTACACGACAACAATGTAGTCAAAAACGGAAAGGTTTTTCGTATACACGGCAACGTTTTCAAAATGATTCACGTTTACACATATCCGCGAAAACGGCCAAAAACGCTGTATTACTTATGCCAGGCCAGTAGTTGGCGCTGTCACCTTGTTAGTAAACAGTACCTGCAGGGAAATGACGATTAGCTCTTTGTGGGCGGGAGTTCCGTCACTAAAATCACCACACCGACTGTTGCTCTACTCCTCATTCATAGCGATAGCAGCTTTAGCTGCGTTAGCAAACTCTTGAGCAGCAACAACAGTACCATGTACTCCGCCATTGTTGTGTATGTTTGTTCGCGCTTGCCTTTAAAATCGACACGTACTGCGCATGTCTACATACCTAACACGTACTACGCACGCACATGACGTCACTGTTTTCAAAGATTCCCGTATTGGGTGTTTACACGGAAACGATAACGGTGGCGTTTTCAAAAACTTGCACTTTGAAACTAATTTTCAAAATTATGCTTTTCAGTCCCCAAAACACTGCTGTCGTGCAAGCGAACAGGCAAAACGCATAAAAAGTTTCCCGTTTTTTGGCTGAAAACGTTGTCATGTAAACGGCCCCTGAGTGTATGTTGTCCCACCTGCCGACTGGGATTGCAAAGTAGAAAACGGACAGCATGTTGGTCCTCTTCTCCTTGATGAACAGGTCAGCGATGATGGTGGGAGCAATGGTGGAGTAACTGGCCTCCCCAACACCCACCAGCCCTCGCGTCAACAACAACGCCCAGAAATGCTGAGAGAAGATTTATCCTATTAGCTTACTCTCTCAATATCACACTTTAAAATACACACTTTAGTATAGAAGACTGAAAGATGTTGCTTTGAAATAAAAATTATTCAAATATAAAGGGGAGGATTAACCCGTATGCATTTGTCTGAAAGGTTTAATGTAGGACTTACGTCTTTTCCAATGAAGGAACTGGCTAACGTCACTAGGGACCAGAAAAAAATTCCCACACACATGATCAGCTTCCTGTTATACCTGTCGCCCAGGTATCCAAACAGAGGAGCCAAGAACATATAACTGCAGATGAAGACTAAAAAGAATAAAGAATCAAAGTGAATAATAAAATAATAAATAATAATAAGAGTAATAATGATAATAAAATGGATTTCAAATGGTATGAATCCGCTCACCTGTCTGAAGTAGTCCTGATGTTCCATCACTAATGCTGAAGAAATGCTCAATGTCTGGAAGTACACCTGCAAAACAGGACGTTTAGTGTTATCACAACTTTATTACTGACCAATTAAAATACCATTGCACATTATATGTTTTGCAGAATAAAACAACAATGAAATCTTTCTACAGATATTTATATATCAAACAGTCATTGGGAGCAACAAATCTCTTTGCCTTCCACAAAGCCTCTATTACTAATAGCAAAAGTATGTGTATAAACTTCATCAGAGGTGTTGTTGCTGTTAACTAAAACTATTAAAAATAATTTTCCTTGTCGGTGCCGATAGCCTCGTTGGCAGCGTGTCGACATGTAGTGCCGTTGCGCTTCGGGCATCTCGTGTTCGAGTCCCAGCTCGTGGACCTTACCCAATCCCATAACTCTTTTTCTCTCCAACTTCGCTTCTTGTCTAACTACTGTCCTATCAAATAAAGGTAAAAATGCCAGAAATAATTCTTTAAAAAATAAGTAATACTAATGATTTTCCCTAACTGAAAGTCAAACTAAATAAAAAATAAAGCTAAAATAAAATACAAATGTTAGATGAACTTAAAAGGGATAGTTCACCCAAAAATTAAAAATTCTGTCATTAATTACTCAGCCTCATGTCGTTCCAAACCTGTAAGGCCTTTGTTCATCTTCGGAACACAAATTAAGATATTTTTGATGGAATCTAAAAGCTTTCTGACCCTGTATAGACAGCAATGATCCTAACACGATCAAGGTCCAAAAACGTAGTAAGGACTTGGGATGCTCTTTTCGGTTAATTTTCCTGACCGACAACCGCTGCTCGTTATCCGAATATTAACTGTTAACTGATCAAATTAGAATAATACATTTGTATTAAAAAAAATAGAATGGACAAGCATCTGTGATGATACATTAAAAATACCAACAAATATTTCATTTTAACGTGCAAACAGCAGCATACAGGGCAACAGCAAAACCTGGATTCACACATCCTCAAATTATCACGCACCAGCAGCGCTTCTGAGAAAACAGAATAAAATAGGCTAATATAAATAAAAAAAGAATAAAATTAATAGGCAAGCTACGCAATATCGTGTTCATAATCGCAGGCGATACATCGGCGATAATGAACGCGATATTGCGTAGCTTGTCAGTGAACTACGGCTCTGTGTAGTAAATGCCGCGCCATCTGAAAGCACGTGATGGAGATTTACTACTAATCACAGAACTGGCTTTACTGACGAGATGCGCATGATCATCGCATTCGATTATTTGCACAGCCCTACACTGCATCAGACAACAATACATGAAAGAAAAACTAAATTAGCTGGTATTTTTAAAATTCGTGATGGGATTTAAAAGCCCTCTGATTCAAAAGAACAATTTAGGCTAGCATAATCTGATATCATGAACAAATCACGTTATCATGCGGTGTATGGGTGTTACTGCTGTGTGTCTTGCTTGTGCATTTGATCTGAATCAAAAGGGATCCAGCACTTTATGGCAGCACTGATGTGCTGAAATCTAACAGCGCTGGTTACCTGCCACAGTGAATCGGTCCATATAGTTCAGCAGGTTGATGTAGCAGAGTACAGCCACAGTCAGTTTAGCCCTCTTATCAGACACTCCGCTGGCAGACTCCTCCTCCTCGGGCTGAGGTGATCCCACCCCATTGTCAGTAGGCCCCTCCTCCTCATTATCATCTGAGAAGAAGGGTGTGGTGTCTGCGGAAACATCTGTCCCTGTCATCACTGCAGCAGAAAAAGAAGTTGATGAAGAGCAAAAAATGCCAGCATAGAGTTCAAATCAACAGTAGCAAAAAGTCTAAGAAATAAGTTTTACATTTACATTTTGCATATGTAGATTATTTTATTCAAAGCAGCTTACACTGCATTTTATCAGTTCACACATTCCCCGGGAATCGAACCTATGACCTTGGCATTACTAGTGCTCCTTTTTTGCACTTAGAGAATGGAATATTGCATGTATACAGATACAAAACTTCTCTAGAACATGGATGGTTTGGTCTACCACAATCAAAGATCCTTATGGGAAGCAAAACCAAAGACTGACTCACGGTTTCAGGCATTAAATGCTCAAGAGCAACAACAACAAAAAAAGAACAAAGTCTATCACTGATTACACACAGACTATTGATCACTTGCTAATCTCATCCACACATGAGGATGTACAGTGGGGTTCAAAAGTCTTTTAAAACCAAGCCAAAATGCATCTAATTTGCATTTTTAAAATGAAAAAGCTTTCCCATAAATTATATTATCATTACTTTGTTTACAGTGAAAAACTGCAGACATCACAAATGCTTGACCACAAAATAGTGCAGAATCTGAATTTTCCTTGTTAATTTTGTCACAATCATTCTTTGTTTTTCTTTTTAATTTATAATATTTTAAACATTTATTTCCGGGTTTAAATTACATTTTAGATTTTACATTTTTGATCCCCACTGTTTATTTTTGAGTGAGATCATCCATTTAAAACATAGAAAAAGTAAGATAAAGAATACTGCCAAAGAGTTCTTTGTTCTAAAGCGCTGAGACCTTTTTTCTAGAATAGATTCTATGAAGACAGAAAGAATGAATTACATTTATAATCTAGTTTGTCAGGAGTTTAGACACATGGAGAGGGAAGTAGGCACATGCTCGTGATGTGAATTAATCTCGCCACAATGTCATGTGAATACAGTCAAAATATTGAAAGAGAAATTACACTATGGGCTGAGATAGCTCTGTATGCATGCACAATTTTAATAAATAATATATGAATGTAAATGTTTCGGTTTAATTAAAACAGTCATTAAGAGTTTCTGCATATCAGTAAATGAATTTAAATGGCCAAACCTAAACAACTATGTGGGATAACATGTCAGAAGTTTCCCTAACTACTTTCAGTTATCTATATCCTTTAACTGTCGGTTGAATCCAACTAAAAAACGGGTTTTGCTGACTGACGATGACATGTGATGCTTGAAGCTGGTTAAGCAACATATTCTACTGACAGTGCCAACCTCAACAAAAAAACAAAAACAACATCGTATTCTTCTTTTTTAGATGTGGTTGTTATGGTCAGGGGCGTGATTTCCACTGGGGACAGGGGGGACATGTCCCCCCCACTTTCAAATTCGTTTGTTATGATTTTTTTAACCGCACGCCCTCATCGCCACGGAGGAGCAGGACCGAGCAGGGCACAGACTCGCGCACACTCTAAAAATAGCTCACTGAAGTTAATGAGCAGGTATCGCGGTTGCGGCACAGTCAGCGAAGAAACGCCAGAAGCAGCAACAGATGACTTCAGTGTCATCATGGATGAAAAGAAAGAAAGAAAGAAAGAAAGAAAGGATTTGTGAGTTGGTTGATTCAGTAAATTAGCTCAGGTCAGGATAATCATATTTTCTGTCTACACCTGTTGATGTTAGCCTACGTTGACTGAGCTAACCTTAACATACACTGTTGCTAGGTGACAGACTGTTGTTAGCTAAATATTTAATGTAGAACAGTGGTTCCCAAACTTGGGTACGTGAGGCGACAGAAGGGGGTATGCGAACAAAATGCTGAGTTTTGCGGAGTTTCGTGAACGAATCGTAAATACAGCCACTTGCTTAGTTACTGAATTAACAAATGACTCGATGACTCACGCATTAAGACAGTGACTTACCGCCACCTACTGGCGCTTTTAGTATTTAAAATAATCACTTTTCACTTTTTTTTATCATCATTGCATATTAATCTATTGAACTTTTTTTTTTTTAAACATTAATATTCTATTTATAAAGATAAAAAATGCATTGTAAAGTCAATTTAGGGGGCAAACATTGTCCTTTAATGGAAAAGGTGCAGTCTAAGTGGAAGTGAGGGGGTAGGCCTAAGCAGAAATGCCTCAGGGGGTACTCCACTCTAAAAAGTCTGGGAACCACTGATGTAGAACATTCTGTCCTGTGCAACAAGTGATTTATTTTATATTTTCAGGTACAGCGGTTAGTTTGAAATAAAAGTTTGTTTAACAGTGGAAATTGAGTCTCACATTATTTAAACATTATTCAAAACATTAATGGTGAA